CTCCGGGCCTCTCCCCGGGCCATCCACCCGCAGATCGGCGGCCGCGAGCCGCACCTCCAGCCTCCCAGGCCCCTTCGTGCCACACTCCAGACTCCGACAGGTTCCCGTCCCCCTCGGGACGGTGTCCCCCGCCGTCCCCCAGACGCCCCCGGAACTTCCCACCACCCCGCGTAGTTCCCCGGGGTCCTGGTTCCCTCCTTTCCCCTGCTGGGGCTCGGCGGCCCCCCACCCCACCGCCTCTGAAGCCCCCGCTGTCTTGTCTGGTGACAGTCTCTCCCTGTCCTGAGCGCCTCGGCCTTCCCCCTCATTACCCGGCGGCCCCTGACCCCTGGTATCCATGCACCCAGCCCTGCTGACTCCCCACAGCCACCCCGTCCCCACACTGCCCGGAGAGTTTTGTATGACTCTTGTGAATGGGAGCCTCAGCTCAAACTCGCTCCATGTCTGCAGCTTGTGCCTTCAGTTCTTAGCTCTTGTCTGGTCTTGGGGGCCGTGGGGTGCAGCCTCAGCTCTTCCAGGGGTGATCAGCTTCTCCAAGCAAGAGCAGAGTGCTCCCGATGAGGGAGGAGCGCCACCCTCTCGGTCCTGTTAGGGGTGATGGCCTGGCCTGGCCTGAGCTCGTCTCCTCCACCCACAGGCCTGGGTCCTGAGGAAAGCACAATGGTGGCTGTGGACTTGGGGTCCTCCCCCCTCCCCAAGAAGAGCCCAACTGTCCCTGGGGCCCTGGAGCAGGTGGCCAATCGGCTGAGCAGCAAGGTGGCCGCAGAGGTTCCTCAGGGCAGCAAACAGGAGCTGCCGGACCTCAAGGGTGAGTGAGTGGCCCAGCCGACAGGGCAGGGTAGGGTAGGGGTGCTGGCCAGGCTGGTGGTTCTCGCAGCGGGGGAGCTCTGGGGCCTGAGGGTTAGTGAGGTGCCCAGGTTGGCAGTGGCTCCCTCCCCAGAGCTCCAGCAGCCTGGCCCCCCCCTCAGGCCCCCAGGTATCCAGGGAAGCAGCGGGCGTGGGGGTCCACAGCCCTGGCTCAGGGCGTCTTGCCGCTGCTGACCTGTTGCTAGCCGCTTGGGCTTCCGTGTAACCCCGATTCATCTGTTGGCATAAGATTGTTCTGCGTAGTGTCAGGCTCCACGCTGGTTCCCAGGGATGTGAGGAGTGAGTCGACCTGGCCCGAGCCCTGGGGTCATTAGATTGAGAGTGGGGAATGGAGGCTCACCCGTGGGAGTGTGGGAGCATGGCTCCGTGGGCCTCTGGCCCAGCGTGTGGCACGAGCCACGGAGAGGAGCTCGGTGTGAAGTTGTGGCTGGCAAGGCATGTTGATGTGAGCCAGTTGCGGGGCGCCTGGTGCGCTGGCCGGACACAGAAGAAGGGCTGTGCCTCCTGCGGTGCGCTCGCTCTCGGGTTCAAGTCTTCCCTTCTCTGAGCCTCAGTTTCCTTGTTTGCAAACCCTGCCTCCTTTAGAATCATTGTGAGGATCGAGTGGGGTTGACTGCAGCAAAAACACGTCCCCGGAGCCCAGGTGAGGGGAGGAGACGCGGGCCAGCTGGGCCCCGAGGCCTCACAGCCCGCTCTCCTGGCCTCCCGTCTCACCCTCCAGCCCAGAGCCTGACCACCTGCGAGGTCTGCGGCGCCTGCTTCGAGACCCGCAAGGGTCTGTCCAGCCACGCGCGGTCCCACCTGCGGCAGCTGGGGGTGGCGGAGTCAGAGAGCAGCGGCGCCCCCATTGACCTCCTCTATGAGCTGGTGAAGCAGAAGGGCCTGCCGGATGCCGCCCTCGGACTGCCCCACGGCCTGGCCAAGAAAAACAACTCCCCAAAGGATCTGCTCACGGGAGCCTCGCGGCCCGGCCTGCTCTCCCTGGCCAAGCCCCTGGACGCTCCAGCCATCAACAAAGCCATCAAGTCGCCTCCGGGGTTCTCAGCTAAGGGCCTGGCCCACCCTCCCACCTCGCCACTCCTCAAGAAGGCCCCCCTGGCCCTGCCGGGCTCCACGGCCCCCAAGAATCCCGAGGACAGGAGTCCCCAGCTGTCCCTGAGCCCCCGGCCACTCTCCCCCAAGGCCCAGTGGCCCCAGTCTGAGGATGAGGGGCCCCTGAACCTCAGTGAGTGTGGGTCCTGGGAGCAGGGGGCGGGGCCAGCACTGGGCAGGGGGGGAGGGGCGTCAGGCCTGGACAGGGGGGGACAGCAAGCAGCAGCTCCTGGGTCCTGCGTGGTCCAGGTCGGAGCGTGCACTCCAGCTTCTCCTGCTGGGCTCCCCTGTCCGTGCCCTTCCGTCTCCCCCCATCACGGCCTCCTTCCGCTCTGACCCCACCACGGTCCTCCACACAGCTCCTGTCCCCTTGGCCCAGGGTGGGGTAGCTTGAGTTGCCGGCCCCACAGTCCTGGCCTCCCCAGTGGGAATTCTGGTATCTTGGCCGTCCAGGTGGACGGGAGGGCCCTGGAGCCGGCCTGTCTTGGTGTCTTCCTGGCCATCCTGTCTGGATGCGTATCTCTCTCTCTGTCTCTCTCCCCCTCTCTCCCCCCACCTCCCTGTGTGTGCCCAGAGCTGGTGCCCCTCCACCTGAGCTGCTGGGGGAAGAAATCTTCCAGACGCAGGGAGCAGGGTTTGTGAGCGGGTCCCCGAGTGATCAGGCTCACCCTTAAGCCTGCAGGCAGCAGAGTGCAGGGGTGTCTGCAGGGTCTAGCTTGGGCCTAGGGAGCAGCCCAGGCCACGCCTCTCCGGAGCTGTTTTTTGCTCAGTGCACCTGGGTTGCTGGAGCAGGGGCTGTGGCCGCCGTCACTTGGCTGTGTGGTGCTCAGCAGCCTGGTGGGACCCCCCGAACTCTAGATCCACCATTTGCTTCCAGGGCTCCCTTAGCAGGGCTCCAGGAGAAAGGGCCTGGGAGCATCCCGACCTGCTGCGGGACTTCCGCCATCGCCTTTACACCTTGCATCCTTCAGCTGTCCATGTGCAGCTGGTGCCAGAGGCCAGTCAGGGAGAACAGGCCGTCTTGCACCCGGCCACGCCCCCCCTCCCAGAATCAACCTGCAGCGTCACTCTTGGACCCCAAACTGCCTGGCCACGGAGACTTGACGCCAGGCTCCTGCTTCCGTCCCCCAGGGCCAGCCACGGTGGCGGCCGTGAACGCCCCCTGTGTTTTGTCTCCGCAGCTTTAGATAGTGACGGGGGCAGAGAGCTGGACTGCCAGCTGTGTGGTGCCTGGTTTGAGACCCGAAAGGGCCTGTCCAGCCACGCACGCGCCCACCTGCGCCACCTGGGCGTCAGCGACCCGGATGCCAAGGGATCCCCCATAGACGTGCTCTACGGGCTCATCAGGAGGGACGGCGTCCAGATCCGCCTCCCACCCGGGCGCGGAGTCCTGGCCCCGCTGGGGCGGCCTCCTGCCACCTCCGAGGCCCTCTCCTTGCTTCCCCCCCCACCGCCGGCCAAGAAGGCCAAGCTGAAGGCCGCGGGTATGGCCAGCCCCTGGGGGAAGCAGGACCTCTCGGCCGCCGGCATTTTCTGGGCCTCTGATGTGGAGCCATCTCCTCTCAACCTCTGTAGGTCCTCGCTTCAGCCGCCTCCTCCTCCCTGTGGGCCCTGGAGCCCCTCCCGTGGTGGGGGGGGGTCCTGGCCCCCTCCTTCCTCCCTCCCTGTTGGGGCAGGGAGTGGACAGGGGCCCTTGGCAGCGGGCCAGCTCTGCCCAGAGATCTTGTTGTCAGGGGGCTGTTCTGCCCTCCCTCCGCCTTGCTCTTCATCACCATGACTTCCCCGAGAATGAAGGCCAAGGGGCGGGGCCTGGCTTTTGGTGGAGAAGGTGCCCACGTCTGCCCCCAGTCTGGAAAGGCACAGGGCACTTAGACGGCCGCTTCCCGTCTGGACCTGTGGAGACCGGGAGCCTTGGTTCCGGCCTCCGAAGGGACCCAGGCCCCTTTGAGCTGCCCCTGTCCGGGGCCTGGCCCCCTGCCCACTCCTCCTCCCTGGCTTCCACCTGCCTTCCATCACCACCTTAGCCTGTGGGCGTGCCGCCACCCACACCCCGCCGAGCAGAACGCTCCTGCAGGTGGCCAGGCTGCTGGTGCCCTTGGTCCTAACTGCCCCTCTCCTCTGCCGCAGCGTCCGGGCCGGAGCCTGCGCGGGACATTCGCTGCGAGTTCTGCGGCGAGTTCTTCGAGAACCGCAAGGGCCTGTCCAGCCACGCGCGCTCGCACCTGCGGCAGATGGGCATCACCGAGTGGTATGTCAATGGCTCACCCATCGACACGCTGCGGGAGATCCTGAAGAGACGGACCCAGTGCCGGCCGGGCGGCCATCCCCACCCGCCAGGGCCGAGCCCCAAAGCCCTGGCCAAGATGGTGGGCAGCGGGGGCCCTGGCAGCTCGCTGGACGCCCGCAGCCCCTCGGACCTTCACATCTCGCCCCTGGCCAAGAAGCTGCCGCCGCCACCGGGAAGCCCCTTGGGCCACTCACCAACTGCCTCCCCTCCCACGGCCCGGAAGATGTTTCCAGGCCTGGCAGCACCCTCCCTGCACAAGAAGCTGAAGCCGGAACAGATGCGGGTGGAGATCAAGCGGGAGATGATGCCAGGGACCCTTCATGGGGACCCACACCCCTCCGAGGGCCCCTGGGGGGTGCCACGGGAAGACATGGCACCCTTGAACCTGTGTAAGTGTGGCCCTGTGGCAGGCAGGGCAGGGGAATGGCTTGAGAGGCCCCCTCTGCTCTCCTTGGGGCTACCCACTTCGCTAGGGCGGAGGCAGAAGGGAGGGGCGTGGGTACACAGGAGGTGGGTGGGTACACGTGGGCACACAGCTCTGCACCCCACAGACCCCCTGCCCAGCTTCCACCTCGCCCGCTCTTCACCCAGGGCAGGCCAGATTGTGTCACCCAGCGAGGGCAGAGAGACTTCCTCTCATGCCGTCTTCAGTTGGCTAGTAGTGTAGGCTGCCAACCGGATCCCTGTGGAGAAAGCAGTGATTAGTGATGAATGACTTAGTGATGAATGACGGGACGGGAGTGTGGGGGCGGTCAGGTCTGAGCCTGGGTCCTTGCCTGCTCCATGTTCGAAGCCGTGGCTAGTGTAGGAGTGTCGGGGCAGGTTCCTCACCTGGACGGGGAGGAGGAACCCAGCCCCCTGGCTGTGGGCGGAGCCCCGTATCAGCTGTGGGTGGAGCCCCTCGCTGTGGGCGGAGCCCCTGGCTGTGGGCGGAACCCTGAATTAGCTGCGGGTTGAACTCCCTGGCTGTAGGTGGAGCCTCGTGCTAGCTGTGGGCGGGGCCCTTGGCTGTGGGCAGAGCCTCGTGCTAGCTGTGGGCGGGGCCCCTGGCTGTAGGTGGAGCCTCGTGCTAGCTGTGGGCGGGGCCTTTGGCTGTAGGTGGAGCCTCGTGCTAGCTGTGGGCGGAGTCCCTGGCTGTAGGTGGAGCCTCGTGCTAGCTGTGGGCGGGGCCCTTGGCTGTGGGCAGAGCCTCGTGCTAGCTGTGGGCGGAGCCCCTGGTTGTAGGTGGAGCCTTGTGCTAGCTGTGGGTGGGGCCTCTGGCTGTAGGTGGAGCCTCGTGCTAGCTGTGGGCGGAGCCCCTGGCTGTGGGCGGAGCCTCGTGCTAGCTGTGGGCGGAGCCCCTGGCTGTAGGTGGAGCCTCGTGCTAGCTGTGGGCGGAGCCCCTGGCTGTGGGCGGAGCCCCGCGGCTGTGCTCTCCCCAGGATTGCGAGTTGAAGTTCTTGGCACCGGCCTTGGTTACCAGGCTCTCCCCATGCTGTGCTTGTCATCATGTCACTGCCACTTGCTTCCCCGGTCACACTGGTTGTGTTCATCCTGCTCGCGTTCCTGCCACTCTTGTCATGTTTTACGTTCTTCCAGTAGTCCCGGGGCGGGGGTCGAAGCGGAGGCTCAGAGAGGGGGAGTCCCCCGCGCAGTGGAGGCAGGGGCGCAGCGGGCTGCGGGCTTTGAGCTGCAGCCGCCCCTCCCTCCTTCCTCCCGCAGCGTCGCGCGCCGAGCCTGTGCGGGACATTCGCTGCGAGTTCTGCGGCGAGTTCTTTGAGAACCGCAAGGGCCTGTCCAGCCACGCGCGATCGCACCTGCGGCAGATGGGCGTCACCGAGTGGTCGGTCAACGGCTCGCCCATCGACACGCTGCGGGAGATCCTGAAGAAGAAGTCCAAGCTGTGCCTCATCAAGAAGGAGCCCCCCGCGGGAGACCTGGCCCCCACCCTGGCCGAGGACGGGCCCCTGGCCGCGCCGGGGCCCCTGCACTCCCCACTGCCCCTGTCGCCCCTGGCTGGCCGGCCCGGCAAACCGGGCGCGGGCCCCGCGCAGATCCCGCGGGAGCTCAGCCTGACGCCCATCACCGGCGCCAAGCCCTCGGCCGCCGGCTTCCTGGGCGCCGTGGCCGCCAAGCGCCCCCTGCAGGAGGACCGCCTCCTCCCGGCCGAGGTCAAGGCCAAGACCTACATCCAGACCGAGCTGCCCTTCAAGGCCAAGACCCTCCACGAGAAGGCCTCCCACTCGTGTAAGCGGTGGGCCGTCGGGGCGTGCGGGGCCGGCCCGGGTCAGGGTGGTGACCCCAAGCGGGGGCCCCCGGGCGGGAGGGGCCGTGCTGCTCCCCTGGGGGACGTGGCTCAGCAGCGCCCCCTCCGCCCGCAGCCACCGAGGCCTGCTGCGAGCTGTGTGGCCTCTACTTTGAGAACCGCAAAGCGCTGGCCAGCCATGCGCGGGCGCACCTGCGGCAGTTCGGCGTGACCGAGTGGTGCGTCAACGGCTCGCCCATCGAGACGCTGAGCGAGTGGATCAAGCACCGGCCCCAGAAGGTGGGCGCCTACCGCAGCTACATCCAGGGCGGCCGCCCCTTCACCAAGAAGTTCCGCAGCGCCGGCCACGGCCGGGATGGCGAGAAGCGGCCGCCCCTGGGGCTGGCCCCGGGGGGCCTGGCCTTCGTGGGCCGCAGCGCCGGCGCTGAGCCGGGCCTGGACGCCGGCCGGGCCGCCGACAGCGGGGAGCGGCCCCTGGCGGCCAGCCCGCCGGGCACGGTGAAGTCGGAGGACCACCAGCGGCAGAACATCAACAGTGAGTGCCGGGGGAGGGGGGGAGGGGGCCGCCACCCGCTGGGCCTCCCACCTCCCAGGTGCCCCCCACCCCCATCTGTCTGGGGCGGGCCGGTCATCAGCTGTCCCCGCCACGCACACCGCTTACCCTGCGTGGGTGGGTGGCCCAGCACCGAGGCCCTCCTGCTCATCTCCTGTGCCTCCCCCCACCATAGAATTTGAGCGTCGACAAGCCCGCCCCCCAGATGCCTCCGCGGCCCGAGGGGGTGAGGACGCCGGAGACCTGCAGCAGAAGCTGGAAGAGGTGCGGCAGCCCCCACCCCGCGTCCGGCCTGTCCCCTCCCTGGTGCCTCGGCCCCCCCAGACATCACTCGTCAAGTTTGTGGGCAACATCTACACCCTCAAGTGCAGGTACGCTGCCCCCCCCCCCCCCGGGACGGCAGGGGCTGGGGGGGGGAAGGGGACATGTAGCTGGGTGCGGGACACCAAGAGGCACGACAGGACAGGAGGGGCCCTGGACAGGGCAGCTCAACACCAGCCAGCCAGCCCCACGTTCAGATTCCCGCTCTGACACTTCGCACTGGAACGGTCACCAGTGTCATGATCTCATACTGGAACGTCGCCCCCCAGGTCTCCGTTCCCCACCTGTAAGACAAATTTCCCTGCTAGGTTAGTAACAAGGGCTGAGCTTTACAGTTAGTAGCACTGAGAAGCACACCCAGCATGTCCAGGTCAGCACTCAACAAGTATTTTCCTGAGTGCAAAACACAGAGCTTAGTTCATTCATTAGTTTGTTAGACTCATTCCAAACGATTCCATCCAAGTCTGAACTAGGATTCAAACCCTGGTCTCTAGATGAGGCCTTGCTTGGTGCTGCTCGGGGTGGGGCTGAGGCAAGGCAGGGCTGGTGAGTTGGGTGGCTGATTGTCCCACTGCTATCCTGTGCACTTTAGATGGCTCCACCCAGTGGTGGACAGAGATGGCTGTCCCCAGGGAGGCTCCTCCTCCCTCAGATCCTGAGCTTGCTCTGTCTGCATGCCCAGGAGTGTGGACAAAGCTAGGTTTAGGCCTCTGCACGCAGCATTGGCCACTCCTGGTCTCTGTGTGCAGGTTCTGTGAGGTGGAGTTCCAGGGACCCCTCTCCATCCAGGAAGAGTGGGTACGGCACTTACAGCGGCACATCCTGGAGATGAATTTCTCCAAAGTGGACCCCCCGCCTGAGGAGCCCCAGGCCCCGCAGGCACAGACAGCAGCAGCAGAGGCACCCTAACACAGAAGCATTCCAGATTCCCTCTGTCTACTTCTGCCTGTCCTCCTCCGTGTCTCCTTCCTTCTCTTCCCCCTTTCTTTTCCGTTTCCAAAGGAGCAAGCCAAAACCTCAAACCGGTGCCCCTCAGGGGCTGGGCACACTACAGCTGGGGTGCCGGGAGCCACTAGCCACCCTCCCCACACCCCTGGACTCTGGGCCGCAGGGTGTCTTCCTTCAGTCTTCGGCCGCCTGGCTGGGCCCGGGAGGGTAGCCAGGTCCTGGGGGGCAGTGTCTCGGTTCCCAGGAAAGGCCAGGGCTCCCATGTCTAGCAGCCAGCTAGGGTTAGAGCTGCACCCGTGGCCATTTGCAAAGACCCCAAAGACCCCTGTTGTGTTTCCCTCCGGCAATCATGACGATTCTGTGACACTTCCCCCCCCCCCATGCAATCATGCGCACAGGCACCTCGGGAGACCCGGGATCTGCCCCAGCCCCCCAGGTCCTGAGTCGAGCCTCCACACCCCGCCACGGTGCTTGCTCAGGGGAAGCTCTCCCTCTGCGGGCCCCCACTGAGCCCACGATGCCACGGAAATCCTCGTTGGCCACCCCCCAAAGGGTCCTTCCTGCTGGGAAGAGCTCTGAGCTGACAGCTGCCTCCTGCCATGTCCAGGGCCCCGAGCCTTAGGGGCTCCGGGCCGGGAGGGCGGGGTGAGGGGCGGGACAGTCCCTCCTCCTGCCCCTGCCTCCCCCCATCCCCTTCACTGTTGCTTTCTATGTATAGCTCTCTAGACCTCTCACTTTTTTAAAGACGCGTTTTGTGTAGAGAATAAGGAACGTGGATCTTTTTATTTTGCAGTCCTGGGCCAGCTAGATACCGGGAGCTGATTGACCTTTTAACTTTTCTCAGTGGCCACCTTTTGGTTATTGATGTACCTAGAAGTATGTAAATTAGATTAAATTTCTCTTCTGGAAACACCCTGGGGCAGACAGCCAGTGTGTGTTTTTCTGTCCCATGGACAGGCCGGTGTTGGCTGGCCGCCGGGGCTGGGGTCTGGGCCTCTGCCATGGCCCAGAGGCTCGGGTTCCCCCGCCAGCCGCCACATCAGCCAGCATAGCTGGGGGTGAGCCCGGGTTCCTGGCTGTGGGTCCTCGAGCCGAGGCTGGTGAGCCAGGGCCTCCAGCCAGAGCTCCGCTGCTGGCCTGGGGAAGACAGCCAAGCCAAGCAAGTGCGGCCAGGAGGGCTTTGTAATGGTGGGAGCTGTCCAGGGAGGATATTGGGGACTCCCGGAGGTGGGGGATGACACTGCTGTTGGGAGCATGGATGTGGGGAGGGGGTTCAGAGAGCTGGGGCTCAACCTGTAACATGACCTCCCGCCCCCACTGCGATCCTCAGATCTCAGCCTCCTGAGTAGCTAGGATTACAGGCATGAGCTACCTGTGCCCAGCTTCTTGTGAATATGGGGTGTGTGTGTCTGCCTGCCTGTTCTGGGCCTGGAACTCAGGCCTTCATTCTCTCACCTGGCTTTTTTGCTCATGGTTAATGCTCTACCGCTTGAGCCACAGCTCCACTTCTAGCTTCTTGGTGCTTAATTGGAGATAAAGCTAGCTAAGCTACTCATGAGGCTGAGATTTGAAAATGGGAGGTTTGAGCCCAGCCCAGACCCTTACCTCCAATCAACTACCAACACATGGCGGTGGAGGGAGCCAGGGGTGAAGGTATGACTTAAGTGGTAGAGGGCCAGTTTAGCAAAAAAAGCTAAGGGATAGGCCCTCAGCTGGCACACACAGGAAATTACAGGGGCTGGGAAGGTGGCTGAGCAGTTGAGTGCTTGCCTCACATGCAATGAGGCCCTGGGTTCGATTCCTCAGCACCACACAAACAAAAAGCCAGAAGTGGTACTGTGGATCAAGTGGTAGGGTGTTGGCCTTGAGCTGAAGAGCTGAGGGACAGCGCCTAGGCCCAGAGTTCAAGCCCTATGACTGACAAAAGAGTAAAAGAAAAAATTATTGTACACATGCAGGGAGGACACTTATCGACTACCCCTAGAGCCTCCTCTTCGTGGCATGGAGGAGGAACACTCATGCATGCTAAGCGAGTGCTCAATCATACTGTTCCCTGCCCCCATACCATCACAGGCTCTCCTGTCCACCATGACCCAAGCTGGTTTTAGAAGAAAGTTCCAAAGTTGGGCATCAGTGGCTCCTACCTGTAATCCTAACTACTCAGGAGGCTTGAGATCTGAGGATCGTGGTTCTAAGGCAGCCTAGGGAGGGAAAGTCCAATTTTTTTTTTTTTGGTCGGTCGTGAGGCTTGAACTCTGGGCCTGGGCGCCGTCCCTCAGCTCTTCAGCTCAAGGCTAGCACTCTACCACTTGAGCTACAGCACCACTTCTGGTTTTCTGGTGGTTTATTGGAGATAGGAGTCTCACAGTCTTTCCTGCCGGGCTGGCTTTGAACCGCCATCCTCAGATCTCAGCCTCCTGAGTAGCTAGGATTACAGGCGTGAGCCACCAGCGCCTGGCTGTCTGAAAGATTCTTACCTCCAATAAACCACTCAGAAAACTGGAGGTGGCGCTGTGATGCAAGTGGTAGAGTGCTTGCTTTGAGCTGAAGAGCAGAGGGACAGCACCTAGGCCCAGAGTTCAAGACCCATGATGGACCAAAAAAAAAAAAAAGTTCCACTTTGAATGCTTCAAGGATCTTCAACGAGACATGAATAGTTTGTTCTCTTGAGTGTTTAATCTTCTCCCTATGCTGGGGAGGGGCCTCCCACATACTAGGGCAAGTGTTCCATACTGAGCTAGAAAGCCCAGGCCTTTCTAATCTTATTCTGTGATGGGGAGGCTCATTAAATACTTTGTGCTAGTGGCTCCTGCCTCTAATTTTGGCTATGCTGGAGGCTGATGCCTGGAAGAGCATGATTCAAAGCAGCCTGTACAGAAAAGTCCTTGAGACGCCGCAACTCTCAAGCAGCAGAATGCTGGGTTGGATTTGTGGCTCCAGTGGTAGAGTACCAGTCATAAGTGAGAAAGCCCAGAGAGCACCCCCTCCGTCAAGCCCTGAAACCTGTATTTAAAATAAATTTCCCAGGTACTCAAACTTGCTATCCTGACAGCCTCTGGAAAAGCTGAAGAGTGTACCACCATGTTCAGATTTTTTTTTTAATAGTTTGCAAGAGCATTTTAGGGAATATACAATACAACACAAACTTACCATATATATAGATTTACAACACAAACTTACCATATACATAAACAAATTACTTTTTGTGTGGCAATGCTGGGGATCTTACTAGAACATCACGTGTGATAGGCAAGTACTTTACCCACTGAGCTCACATCCAACTGACTGATCATTTCTTATTAAGAAAACATGCCAGGTGCCGTAGCTGACATCCTGTAATCCTAGCTACTCAGTCTGAGAAAGCATCTGGGGCCTGGAAAATCCGGTAGGCTCTGTTTGTAAAACCACCAGCAGCAAAAAGCAGGGCTTGAGGTGGCTCAAAGCAAGCCACCAAGCGAAGGCCTGAGGCCCTGAGTTCAAACCCTGGTTCCCCCTCCCCGACTGACTGGCTGCGTACATTAGTTCATGCAGTTTGCAAGTTCAGTCCAGCAGTCTCGACTTCCTCGTTCCAGCATTTGCTCGTTTTGCAGCTGGAGGCAAAGTGCAGAAACCTGGACCGGGCTGGCCGGGTCGCAGAACTCGGGGTGACCCGTGTCCTAGTCTCGGCTCCCTCTGGCGGGCCCCCAAGGCACTGTTAGTCCTGCTGGTTCACCGGGTTTGGGGATTGGGCCTCGGGCCTCCCCGTAGCGCCTAGCCCCACCCCCTTTATCTCTCCGCTGACTTTTCTCGCCCAATCAGCGCGGGTGTAGCATAACGGAAGGCGGGGAGGACAGGGCGGGAGCCTCACGAGATTGGCAGCACACATAGCCACTTGCATGACGAGGTGGGCTCGATAGACAACGACGTAACCCAATAGTTGTGAAGTCCGTGACTCTCACGGGCCAATGCGGTCGGGAGGCGGGGCTGGAATGTGTGTAGGGGCGGGGGAGCCCAGGGATTGTTGCGGCTGTCGAGGCGTCAGATGCCGGAGCCTCCGCTGTCGTTCTCGGTGTAGTGTCCCGCCGTCCCCGCCGCTGCCGCCGCCGCCATGAGCTACACAGGTGGGCCGGGCCGGGCGGGGGTCGCGCTCTGAGCGTGGCTGGCTGGGGAGGGCAGGGCGGGTGCGGGCTGGGCCTGGCCGGGGCTTGTCCACCCGTCCCTGGGCGTCCGGGTCACTGTCGGCTGCGGTGACAAAATGGCGCCGCGGGCCGGTGGCCCCGGGGGTCGCGCCCCGTAGGCCGCGGCGCCCTCGGCCCGCCGCGCTGGCGCCTGGGGCTTGGCGGGAGGGCTCGGGCTCCCATCGCCCGCGGGGCCCCGGGCCCCGGGTTTGGGCACCTGGGGAAGTGGGGGGGGGGTCCCCGCCTCTTGTCAACAGACGTGGCTCGTGGGGTGTCCGCCTCGCACTGCGTGGGGCCGGGGCAGGGCTCGCCGACGTCCCCTGACCTCAGAGCAGGGAGCGGCGGTGAGGGGAAGGCTCCGACCTCCGGGTGCGATCCTGCGGCCTCCTGAGGACCCAGCTCCAGCGAGGCTGGGCGAGGAGGGGCTTGGATTTCCACACTCATCCGTGTCAGGGGCTGGACAGACCGGGGCGAGCAGACCAGTGCGGGCTGTATTCTGAGGGCCTGGGGCGGTGTGTGTGTGTGGGGGGGGGATCAGTGTTCTGTAGGGGTTGATCCATTAGAGAGAAGTCGGGGAGGCCTCTGGGAAGTGGTGAGGTTTAAAGCAAGAGATCCAAATAGAATCCGGAGAGAATAAAGATAGCCCGCTCTGCAGCAGCTTTTGGAGGAAAAAAAAAACAAAAACAAAAACCCTGAGGCACGAATTGACTGTTGAGGGATCTGAGCTGAGAGAGAGGGAGGAAGGTGGGTGAGGAGAGAGGGGAGGGGGAAGGTACGCTAGTGTGATTGTGAATCATCCCCGGGTGAATTGCCAAGGCCGATTGGATTTGCTTTGGCTGTAACCAATGAAGCTCCTCCACCAGCTCAGCCCACTGGGCCTCCCCCCTTGGCTGGAGGTATTCAAGCTTGCATAGATGCTGTTGCCGGGTAACCTGCATTCTATTTCAGAATGTTCAAGACTGACAATGGAGCCACACACTGGTGGCTCACGCCTGTAATCCTAGCTACTCAGGGAGGCTGAGATTTGAGGATTGCAGTTTGAAGCCAGCCCAGGGAAGGGAAGTCTGTGGGACACTTATTTCCAATTAACCACCCAGAAAAAAAAAAAAAGCTGGAAGATGAGGTATTGCTAAATTGGAAGAGCACCAGCCTTGTGTTAAAAAAAAAAATTCAGGGACAGTACCCAAGCCTTGAGTTCAAGGTTCAAGTCCCAGTATTGTCTCCCCCGCTTCACCCCAAAAAATAAGACTTCAGAGCTCAAGCTCTGGGCTCCTCCATTGGTCCCTTTATGTGCCAATCTTCCCTGCTCCAGCCCCCCGGTCAAGAACTCCAGTTTTTCTAGCAGCTTTTCCTTTTCCTGGTGGTTCTCAATCCAGGGCAATTTGACCTGCTTCTCAGCTCCCTCCTCAGGATATATAATAGTGGCAAGCGTCGCGCTTTAGTGTCTCTTCTGGGGGTAGGGGTCGGGGTAGTGGATACAGGCCTGGGATGCTGCTTAGCATCCTTCTGGGCCCACCAAGCCCCACCAAAGAACTCACTGGCCCAAGCTTCAGTGCTGAGCTTGGACATCTGTGTTGAGTCCTGCTGTAGCATGGCTGGGTTCTAGACGAAAATTGGTAAGACCACTGTTAATGTCTTCTGAAATGAAGATGTAATTCGAAGTCTTCACCAGGAACTGAAGTATTTGTGAACTTATTTTGGTACTGGGTCTTGATGTCTGGGCCTGATGCTGTTCCTGCCTTTTCTCTCAAGGCTAGCACTCTTATCACTTGAGCCACAGCTTCACTTCTGGCTTTTTGGTGGTTATTTGTAGAGTTAAGAATCTCACAGTTTTCTGCCCAGGCTGGCTGGCTTCTGACTGCTATCCTCAATTATGCGCTTCTTGAGTAGCTAGGATGATAGGCTTAGGCATCCAGAGCCCAGCAATTTCATAGTATTTAGAGACAATACTGCTGAGTGAACCCAGGGAGAATGGCTGGAGGCTGTGGATATCTTTTTTTTTTTTTTGGGTCGGTCTTGGGGCTTCAACTCAGGGCCTGGGTGCTGTCCTTCAGCTCTTCAGCTCAAGCACTCTACCACTTGAGCCACAGTGCCATGTTCATGGGAGGTAAGAGTCTCATGAACTTTCCTGCCCACTGGTTTTGAACCACAACCTCAGATCTCAGCCTGCTGAGTAGCTAGGATGACAGGCTTGAGCCACTGGTGCCTGGCTTCTTTTTTTTCTGTGCTGTCCTGGGGCTTGAACTCGGGGCTTGGGCACTGTCATTGAGCTTCCTTTGCTCAAAGCTAGTGCTCTACTATTTGAGCTCAGTTCTACTTCTGGCTCTTTGGAAGTTAATTGGAGCTAGGAGTCGTGGACATTCTTGCCTGGGCTGGCTTTGAACATGATCCTCAGATCTAAGCCTCTTGATTAGCTAAGATTACAGGCGTGAACCACAAGGACCCCACTCTGGGATATCTTTTTGTTGTTGTTGGTCATGGGGCCTGAACTCTGGCCCTGGGTGCTGTCCCTGAGCTCTTCAGCTCAAGGCTAGCGCTCTACCACTTGAGCCACAGCACCACTTCCGTTTATGTGGTGCTGAGGAATCAAACCCAGGGCCTCATGCATGTGAGGCAAGCGCTCTACCACTGAGCCACCTTCCCAGCCCCTCTGTGGGGTATTTTTTTTTTTTTTTGGTCGGGCGTGGGGCCTGAACTCTGGGCCTGGGCACTGAGCTCTTCAGCTCAAGGCTAGCACTCTACCACTTGAGCCACAGCACCACTTCCAGCTTTTTTTTTCTGCTTATGTGGTGCTGAGGAATCGAACCCAGGGCCTCATGCATGCAAGGCAAGCGCTCTACCACTGAGCCACCTTCCCAGCCCTCTGTGGGGTATCTTAATAATGGAATATTTATTTTTATAGATGAGGAAACTGAATTAGAAGGATTGCTAATGGCCAAGCTTGTATTTCAGCTCCAGATCTTGTGGGCTGTAATTCTGGATTTGCTGGGTCAAGCTAATGAGGTGTAATGATTAGTTTTTCCTTGATGTTAATAACCTGAAACCCACAATAGCTTTATAATATGGTTCTTTCTAACCAGGAAGTCAGGAATGGGGTGTACTCTTATAATCCCAGGGGAAATCCTATTTGAGGCCAGCTTGGATTAAATAGCAAGAACCTGTCTTAAAAATCAAAAACAGCCGGGGGCCTGTGGCTTATACTTGTAATCCCAGCTACTCTGGAAGCTGAGTTTTGAGGATCACAGTTCAAAGCCAGCCCAGGCAGGAAAGTCTGTGAGACTCTGATCTCCATTGAATCCCCAGAAAATGGGAAGTGGCGCTGTGGCTCAAGTGATAGAGAGCTCTCCTTAAGCTGAAGAGCTGAGGGACAGCGCCCAGGCCCAGAGTTCAAGACCTGCGACCCCTCCCCCCCCACACAAAAAAGAACAAACAAATGCACTCATGTACACAGTAGACACCATGTTGAAAATGAAGTATACAATTTGTGGGTGGGGATGGGAGGGAAAAACTGGGAGCAAGCTAGGGGAGAGGTGACATTGCCCCAAGAGAAATGTATTCACTACCTGACTTATGGACTGATCACCCCTCTGTTAAATCTGAAACAAAAAATGAAGCAGACCAGAGCTGAGGGTTCATTGCAGGGAGTATTTGCTTGTTTCTTGTGAGAACCTGGGTTCAAATCACAGCATGCAAAGGGCGGGGGGAGAAACGACACACAAGACTGCTAAGTTCTAAGGCATTTAAAATTATCCTTCAGGTAACTTTGCTTTAAGGATAAGTTTTGAGGCGAACATTGCTATTATTCTTTCACATAAATGATGATAAAGATAATATATCTCATTGTTAATTGGTCTAGCTTTTGAACCCAGTTGCTTTATTTATACTTGGGAAAAGAGACTATCTCTAGCATCAAGGGGTAAAAGGAAAACAGCAGATAAAAATCTAGAATCTGGCCTTCAAACAAAGGTTCTGAAATGTTGCCAGTCTATTTATGGAAGCCGTTTTACTCTCGCCCAGTGTCCGTCTCCGTGTAGGGAATGCACAGTGCTGTAGCCGCGCGTCTCTGGCTCGGGTTGCGTTTAGGATGTCAGTAGAAAGCTGGCCCGGTGCTGGCAGCCCCACCCTGGGGTGACTCAAACATCTGTGCCTGGCAGATTTGATGCTGGCTCTGGTTCTTTACCACAGGAGTCTCCCTGTGGGGTGGCAACATGGCTGGTTTTCCCCAGACCAATGCTAAACATCGCATGCCACCCCCCGCACCTCCACCAGCTCAGTGGCTACCCTGGTTGCTGTAGTACTCAGGAGAGAAGTGTCATCCCAAGCCATCTCAGGCTGACCAGCACCTTTGTCCTGGCTCAGATGGTCGGGGTTGAAGGCCACCTGACCCACTGATCCTATTGTTCCTTCAAAGAAAAAGGAAAGAAAGAAGAAAACTAGAGATGGTTTTGCTTTTTTTTTTTTTTTTGGTGTGTGTGGGTCAGTCATGAGGCTTGAACTCTGGGCCTGGGTGCTTTCCTTGAGCTCTTCAGCTCAAGGTGAGCGAGCACTCTACCACTTGAGCCACAGCACCACTTCCAGGTTTTCTGGTTGATTATTGGAGCTAAGAGTCTCACGGACTTTCCTGCCTGGGCTGGCTTTGAACTGCGATCCTCAGATCTCAGCCTCCTGAGTAGCTAGGATGACAGGTGTATTTTGCTGTTTTTGCATTTTTGAGCAAAAACAATGATAAAAGCCTGGGACTGGCAGTTCATGCCTGTCATCCTAGCTACTCAGGAGGCTGAGATCTGAGGACCATGGTTCAAAGCCAGCCTGGGCAGGAGAGTCCACGAGACTCATATCGCCAGTTAATCACCAAAAAGCCAGAAGTGGAACACCAGTGTTGGGAGGAAGAGCTAAGCAACAAGTGCCTAGATCCTGAGTTCAAGTCCCAGTACTGGCACGAAAGACCCAAATGGACGGAGGTCTCTGGAGGGGAGGGGCTGCACTGCAGAATCGGATCCATGGTCTTGACCCTTTATTGAACCAACCAGGGTTTGTTTTTTTCACCTAGAGCGGATCAGGCTGGAAAATAGAACCAAGCAGAAGACACTTTATGAATCAGATAAGAATTTATTCAAACTAGCCACAAAAGGGAGAAGAAAGACCTGGCCCAGGAGTTGTTGTGGAACTGGATATTAATACAGGAAGGACCGAATAGAGAGAGCCATTGGACTCTGAGCTTCAGTAGATTTGCTGGGTGTTCTCTCCTCTGTTCCCCCTCCCCCCAGGTATGGGAGGCTCCCTGTGAAGCTGCTGTACAGCCTCCTGAATGGCGAGGATTGCAGGCAGCGGTAGCCGGCTCGCCTTGAGCTGAAGAGCACAGGGACAGTGCCCAAGCCCAGAGTTCAAGCCCCACAACCGACCAAAAAAAAAAAGAAAAGAAAATCTCAGGATTGGGCCGGGAAGGTGGCTCAGTGGTGGAGTGCTTGCCTTGCATGCATGAGGCCCTGGGTTCAATTCCTCAGCATCACATAAACAGAAAAAGCCAGAAGTGGTGCTGTGGCTCAAGAGTTAGAGGGCTAGCCTTGAGCTGAAGAGCTAAGGGACAGCGCCCAGGCCAGAGTTCAAACCCCATGACCACCACCACCAACAATAAAATCTTGGGCTTCTACTGCGTGTTGATGGTTCACACCTGTCATCCTAGCTACTCAGGAGACTGGGATGTGAGGATCACAGTTTGAAGCCAGCCTGGGCAGAAAAGTCCACAAGACTCATCTCCAATTAACCAGCCAAAAGCCAGAAATGGAGCTGCAGTCAAGTGGTAGAGCACCATCCTCAAGCACAATAAGCTCAAAGACAGCAAGTAATTGAGTTCAGGCTCTAAGCCACAGCCCACATCCCTCCCCCCACACCCCTAAATTAGATCTTAGACTTTGGTGTTAGTCTATTTTAAGCAGACTTTCTTTTTTATTTTAGTTTTTGAGCTGGTCCTGAGTCTTGAACTCAGGGCCTATGTGTTGTCCTTGAGTTTTTGTGTTTTAGGTTAGTACCCTACCATTTGAGCCACAGCTCCACTTCTGGCTTTTCTTGGTGATTAATTGGAGATGAGTCTCACAGACTTTCCTGCCAGGGCTGGCTTTCCAAATGTGATCCTCCTATCTCAGCCTCCTTAGTAGCTACGATTACAGAGGTGAGCCACTGGTTGGTACACAGCCTAGAAGCAGTCTTAGAGGTCCAGTGGAAAAGCAGGTTGACAGAAGAGAGACAGCATCTTAGATATCTGCAGGTTGTGATCCCTCATCCCAATGCTTAGGACTCAGATTTCCAAGTTAGTTTTTTTTTTCTTCAGTATTTATATATAACTAATGAGATGGCCCTGGGAGTGAGACCCATCTTTACGCATGAAATCCAAATTCGTTTCTTTTTTGTTGATTGCGGGGCTTGCACTCAGGATCTGGGGGCTAGACTCTACCACTTGAGCCACAGCACCACTTAGGGTTTTGAGTGGTTAATTGGAGACATGAGTCTCACTGGGACTTTTCTGCCTGGGCTGGCTTTGAACCAAGATCCTCAGTTCTCAGCCTGCTGAGCAGCTAGGATTATAGATATATGCCACCGGTGCCTGGTGAAATCCAAATGTTTTACGTATACCTTGCACATGTAGCTTTCATAGCTTGAAGGAGCATTTTACATTTCAGATTGAAGCCATATGGTATACTACTTCTTATCTCCATATAAACATCCCAGCCCAAATAATTACGTTTAAGAAATAACTGAATGTAGCTCAGTGGTGGCATGTTTGCCTTGCTTGTGCAAGGTCCTGGGTTCAATTCCTAGAACAAAAAACAAGAGCTCCCCCCCCCAACAAAACAAAACACAACAGAACAACCCTACCTTTTAATGGGAAACTATATGATAGAGTTTCTGTTTGGGTTGATACAAGGGAATGTAGAGTATTATCTGTGTTAACATTGTTTCAAAATGCACCTTCATCTTTGTTTCAATTGAAAGTAACTTCTCTGGCTGTTTTTCAGTTATTGTGGGGCTTATTTGTACTGGGTCTGGATGCTGGTCCTGGGGCTGAGCTCAAGGTGAGCGCTCTATCACTATGCGCCACAGCTCCACTTACAGTTTTCTGGTGGTTTATTGGAGATACGAATCTCACAGACTTCCCTGGCTTTGAACCTCAATCCTCAGATCTCAGCCTCCTGAGTAGCTAGGATGACAGGCGTGAGCCACCAGTGTCTGGGTCTGACAAATGATTTGTATATTCACTTACTCCATCCCCTCCACAAAATCATTTAGCCACTCCAGTGTAGCAACTTAAATCATAGCCTTCCTTGTCAATGTAAATGTGTTGTGGAGGTGGAATTAAAGTGGAATCAAACTGAGTGCCTGTGGCTGAGCCGGTACAGTCAGCTACTCAGGAGGCTGAGATCTGAGGATCACAGTTCCAAGCCAACTCAGGCAGAAAAGTCTGTGAAATTCTTTATCCCCAGTTAACTAGCATAAAGCTGAAGGTAAAGCTGTGGCTCAAGTGGTAGAGTGCCAGTCTTGAGCAGAAAAGCTCAGGCACAGTGCCCAGGGCTTGAGTTCAAACCCTGGAGTATGATCCACAAAACCAACACACACACACACACACACACACGAAACCAACACACACACACGTGTACACATGCACACGCACACGCACACCCACACAAATTGAGCCCTTCTGTAACAAGGTAAATGTTGCCCATCTGTCCATTGGTAAGTAGAGATCTAATTCAAATGTTGATCTAGAAGACCTGGGTAGTTTGCCAGCTGAGGGAGGGCCTGCTGGCCAGTTACATACAAAGGGAGTCATTTTCCAGTGGCTTGGTTGGGGAGATTAACCACTTGTGCCTATGTTTAGGCTTTGTCCAGGGATCTGAAACTACTTTGCAGTCAACATACTCAGACACCAGTGCTCAGCCCACCTGTGATTATGGTAAGTGGGGGCCCTGGCGGGGGAGGGAGCTCTGTCTTCTAGATCTCCTGCAGTACTCCAATCATTTTGTCTTGCTTTTACTAACCATGAATGTTCATAAAATGGTGTGGTGGCTCATTTGAATAGCTAGGGCTTCCCCTGGACCAGCCACGATAACGCTTTCTATCCCTCAAGACTAGCTCCTCCGGCCCTTTTTTCTTTGAGTGCCAGTCCTGGGGCTTGAACTCAGGGGCTGGGTGCTGTCCTGAGCACTTGAGCCATAGCTCCACTTCTGGCCTTTTGGTGGTTAGAGATAAGAATCTTCAGTTTTCCTGTTCAGGATGAGCTCAAACCATGATCTTCAGATCTCAGCCTCCTGAGAAGTTAGGATTACAAGTGTGAGCCACTGGCACCTGGTGATACATATGTACACAAACACATATGTGTGTGTGTATGTGTATGTATATATATGTGTGGGAATATATATATATATATATATGTAAAACATTTTTTTTTTTTGGGTCTGGTCGTGGGGTCTAAACTCTGGGCCTGGGCGCTGTCCCCCAGCTCTTCAGCTCAAGGCTAGCATTCTACCACTTGAGCCACAGCACCACTTCCGGCTTTTTTCTTTTTGCTTATGTGGTGCTGAGGAATTGAACCCAGGGCCTCAGGCATGCAAGGCAAGCGCTCTACCACTGAGCCACCTTCCCAGCCCCATATGTATATATATTTTAATGTAGACCATTTTTTTTTTTTGAAAATCAGGATGTCTTAATGTTTCGTTTTCCCTTCTGGCTGACAGTACAAGGTAACAGTATTTATATCATTAAAAAAAATGGGCCAGCCTAGATCTGACCATTTCAATATTTAATCTGTTGGCCTACCTGTTTTATGCTGTTGACTAATTTATAGGTGGACAGGATTGTGTGCCCTGCTTTATTTTGCTGGTTTAAGCATTTCCTCCTGCTGTACAAGGCCTAATAAATTAATGCCCACGTGCTGTCTTTCTCAGCAGGTAGACCATTATCCTTAAATTTTACCCTTAAATTATATTTTTGGCCTATAATTATTGCTTATTGTGATGATCTGCCATTGTCTTTCTTTCAATTAATTAATTAACTTATTGTCGGGTGTGAGGCTTGAACTCTGCGCTTGGGCACTTGTCCCTCAGCTCTTCAGCTCAGGACGAGCATTCTACTACTTGAACCACAGCACCACTTCCGGCCTTTTCTGTTTATGTGGTGCTGAGGAATCGAACCCAGGTCCTCATGCATGCAAGGCAAGCGCTCTACCGTGGAGCCACCTTCCCAGACCTCTTTTTATTTATTTTTTTGATGCCGTTCTGGAGCTAGAGCACAGAGCCTGGGTGCCATTGCATTGTCCCTGAGCTTTTTGCTCAAGGCTAGCACTCTGCCCCCTTGGAGCCACAGCTTTATTTCTGGCTTCTTCTATCTTTGAACTGAGATCCTCAGTTCTTAGCCTCCTGAGTAGCTGGGATTACAGGCGTGACCTCTGGCACCTGGCTTTTTCCTTTCCTTTAAACAACTCTGTTCTTAAAATTCCTCTTGCCAACCATGACCTCATTTCCTCTAGGAGACAGAAGTGACTTGATGTTCTTTCAGAAGAGGCAGGTTTCTTGGAGTCCAAAATGCCAGCCTAGAAAGGCCTTCCTCCCTGGGGGGGGGGGGTGCTCTCAGCTAGAGAGTGTCTCAGGGACTTTGGGCTTGCCAGCCAGGGAGTCCTGACGGCTGGGAGCAGCCCTGGCACAGGAGCCGCCTGCCTGATCTTGACGTATCAAGTGCTGTTGAGAGTCCATGCCCACCCTTCCTTCCCGTGCTTGCCCACCCTGCTGTGGAAGCTGGGGTGACGAAGAACCAGCCCCACAAGCAGCACCTGAAGAGTCTGCCTTCACTGTCCTGTCCAGTCCTGTCTCCCTTCTGGATCCCAGTGTGCACCACTCCTGGTGTGCACAAGGCTGTGAGGCTGTAAGCCTGGGGTCTGGATAGTTGTTCCTGTGGGAAGGGGGGGTTCTGGTTGTGTGTGTGTGCCTGCATGTGTGCTTTGTGTGTGTGTGTGCGCGTGTGCGCTTTGTGTGTGTGTGTGTGTGTGTGTGAGTCAGTAATGAGGCTTGGTGTTCTACCACCTAAACCCTATTGTCAGCTTTTTGGTAGTTAATTGGAGATAAAGAGTCTCATGGGATTCTCAGCCCAGGCTGGATTCAAACCCTGATCTCAGCTCTCAGCCTGCTGAGTAGCTGGGATTGCAGGTGTGAGCTTCCAAGCCCGTGCTGCTCTGCTTTTCTCCTCTGGTTCTTACTGACTTTGGTCCCATGGCGGGAGGCGAGTGTATCGTACGGGTGTCTGCAGAGCAGGGGTGGTGTGGCACTGGAAGCAACCAGGAGCCTCACCAGAAATCCTGGGGGAAAGGGGTCCTTCATCCCCGCGGGGTCCTCGGGGGGGCCCGTGCCATGGCTGCGGCGCAGTTTCCACTGGGCAGCACCTTGTTGGTTCTCAGCAGCCTTATTCTCCGGAAGCAAGGAGCTTTTCCAGTGTGTGGTGATCAAAGCCAGCCTGTGTTTACTTCCTGCTCCAGATCCTTCTATGACATCGCGCTGCACAGCATAGCGGGCACTTCAAAGCCTCGTTGGCTTTCTCTGTGGAGGCAGATATTTGGAGGACCCCATGGTCCTTTCTCTGCTTCAGCTGGTTCAGGAGAGAGAATTGATGCCATGATTTCAGTGTGGACAGAGACTCTGCCAGGGTTCTTATATAAAGGCTGGTGTGTGTGTGTGTGTGTGTGTGTGTGTGTGTGTGTGTGCTGGTGTGTGTGTGTGTGCACGCGCACGCACCTCCAGCATTGAAACACATACTGTTAGCCATTTTCCTCTTCTCTTCCTTCCACTACTGTTTAGCCAGGGGTGGGCAGGTCATCTTGTAAGTGAATCTCCTCAAAGGGGGAATGTAGGAACTCAAATACCAGCTGCTCAGAGCTGGTCACCAGATCGGTGGCCTGCTGTGAATGTGTGGTGACATTCCATGTGGGGGCATCTGTTTTTGTATGTGCCAGTCCTGGGGTTTGAACTCAGACCATTATGCTCTGGCTTGACTTTTTCACTGAAGATTGGCACTCTACCACTTGAGCCATAGCTCCATTTCTGCTTTTTTTATGGGTCAATTCTGGGGCTTGAACTCAGGGCCTAGGTGCTGTCCCTGAGCTGTTTTTGCTCAACACTAGTGCTCTAGCACTTGAGTCACAGAACCACTTTTGGCTTTTGTTGTGGCTAATTGGAGATCAGACTCTCATGGACTTTCCTGTTGGTGGCTGGCTTTGAACACTGATCCTAAGAGCTCAGCTTCTTGTGTAGCTGGGATTATAGGCATGAGCCACTGTCGCCGACTGTGAGTGACATCGTAGTTATGGGAAGGTCGGGAGGCCGTAGGCCATGGATTAGGTACTAAGAGGAAGCTCAGTGAAACTCCTGTGGTACTGAGGAAATTGTGGGTCGAGCTGTTGCCTTTCTACTTTTTGTAGGATATGGAACTTGGAACTCTGGGACAAACAGAGGCAAGTATCCCCATGCCTGCTCTCCTCTTGGCTGCACTGCCTGGCACGGCTGGGGGCTCTGGGTGTCCCTGTTGGGGAGATGCTTACTCCTCTTTGGGTAGCTAGAGTCCCCCAGTTTGTCTAGTGACAAAAGACACGTATTTCTTTGTCTGTGTAACTCCGTGTGCCTTTCCTCATGCAGGCTACGAGAGCTATGGCTATGGCTATGGCTATGGCCAGGATAACGCCACCAACTATGGGTATGGTATGGCCACTTCCCACTCCTGGGAAATGCCCAGCTCTGACACAAATGCCAACCCCGGTGCCTCGGGTGGCGCCAGTGCCGATTCCGTTTTATCCAGAATTAACCAGCGCTTAGATGTGGTGCCGCACTTGGAGACTGACGTGATGCAAGGAAGCATGTACGGCTCTGGTGGGGAAAGGTGAGTGAGTGGAGGCCGCCTTGGGGGGAGGGGGGGCGGCTGGTGCCAGGGTGGATCCGGCCTGGTGGTGCTCACTCAGCCCTGAGCACTGTGTCTGCTCCTGGGCCTCTCAGCACCCCGTGCTCCCACTGAGGTCCTCAGACCTGTTATCCATGCCCCATGGCTGGCTTCTCAGCACACACAGCATGGCTCCCCAGAAGCAATGTGTCCAGATACCCCTCGCTTCCCAGACAGGGCAGGACAGATTGGCACTGGTGTAGGGGTGGAACCAACCTTGGCAGGTTGGGCCATTCCACACAAAGGGTAGGACCGATGTGGCATCTCCTAGCCACATTCAAGGACCTTATTAATGGGAGTGGGTGGCTCACAGCTATAATCCCAGCTACTTAGGAGGCAGGAATAGGGAGGATCATGGTTCTGTGTGTCTGTGTGTGTATGTATTAAATTTGGGCCTTGGGTACTGTCTTTTTTTTTTTTTTTTTTTGATGCCAGGGGCTTGAACTTAGGGCCTGAGCACTGTCTCTGAGCTTTTTTACTTCAAGGCTGGTGCTCTACCATTTGAACCGCAGCTCCTCTTCTGGCTTTTTGGTAGTTAATTAGAGATGAGACTCCCATGGACTAGCCTGCACTAGCTTCTAACCTCAATCCTCAGATTGTAGACATGAACCCCCAGATCCTGGTTCAGTTTTTTTTTTTTTTTTGTCGGTCGTGGGGCTTGAACTCTGGGCCTGGGCGCTGTCCTTCAGCTCAAGGCGAGCGCTGTACCACTTGAGCTACAGCGCCACTTCCGGTTTTCTGGTGGTTTATTGGAGATAGGAGTCTCACGGTCTCTCCTGCCCGGGCTGGCTTTGAATCGCGATCCTCAGATCTCAGCCTCCTGAGTAGCTAGGATTACAGGTGTGAGCCACCAGCACCCGGCCCTGGTTCAGTTTTTTAAGATAGGGCCTAGCTCTGTTGCTCAGGCAGCTCTCCTGTTTGAGATTAGCTGAGAGCCCAGGTGTGGGCCTACACTGCAGCTGAATATAGGGTTTATAAACTTTGTTCTCACAGTGCTTTTTGGGGGGTTCCTGTAGTCATGAGGGATGAGGCTAGCATTGTTCCTGTTTTTTTTTTGTCAGTTGTGGGGCTTGAACTCTGGGCCTGGGCACTGTCCCTCAGCTCTTCAGCTCAAGGCACGTTTTCTACCACTTGACCCATAGCACCACTTCCCGTTTTCTAATGGTTATTTGGAGATAAGGGTCTGATGGACTTTCCTGCCCAGGCTGGCTTTGAACTGTGATCCTCAGATCCTCAGATCTCAGCCTCGGTGGATTATGGGCTTGAGCCTCCAGTGCCGGGCCTCCTGTGGGTTTTATCCACCATCATGGCTAAGCGTTCCTTGTGCTGGGTACTTGTCTCTACTTGAAGAGCAGCTCTGGGCACTGTGACTGGCTGTGGGATGGCCTTGTTTCCCCCAGAAACTGGCAGGAGTAGAGTCTCCCTGCCAGGCTGGGTCCTTGGTTAGACCCTGGCTGGCGCAAGGCTACGTTCAAGCTTGGGGCAGTGGGTCTCCTATGAGAGGTCCATCTTGATTCTGGATGCTGCACTTTGGCACTGCAGGACGGGGGTGGGTGGGTGCTGGAGCCGGGCTTACTGCCCCAGGTCTGGGAGGGGAGCAGGGGGCAGAAGCCGTCGGCTGGCCTCTGGCTGACGGCCCCCCTCCCTCTGCAGATATGACTCCTATGAGGCCTGTGACACGAGGGCCGTCCTGGGTGAGCGCGACCTCTACCGGTCGGGCTATGACTATGGCGACCTCGACCCTGAGATGGAAATGGCCTATGAGGGCCAGTATGACGCCTACCGCGACCAGTTCCGCATGCGTGGCGGCGACTCCTTCGGTCCGAGGGCTCAGGGCTGGGCCCGGGATGCCCGGAGCGGCCGGCCGATGGCCTCGGGCTATGGGCGCATGTGGGAAGACCCCATGGGGGCCCGGGGCCAGTGCATGCCAGGTGCCTCCCGGCTGCCCTCCCTCTTCTCCCAGAACATCATCCCCGAGTACGGCATGTTCCAGGGCATGCGCGGCGGGGGCGCCTTCCCGGGCGGCGCCCGCTTTGGCTTTGGCTTTGGCAATGGCATGAAGCAGATGAGGCGGACCTGGAAGACCTGGACCACGGCCGACTTCCGGGTGCGTGAGGCGGCGGGCCAGGGCTGACTTCCGGGAGGGCCGGGCACCGGGCAAAGGCTGACTTGTAGGTGGGCGGGGCGGGGACAAGGCCGGCTTCCGGGTGGGCGGGGCGGCGGCCTCCCGGTGGGCGGAGCCTCCCAGTGGGCGGGGCG